CACCGAAGATCCAATTCCATTGACTGGAAACGACAAATGTGTTGGAACTGTGAAAATTCATAAATAATTTGTTCAATTGCCGTAAATGGTCTCATCAAGAGGATAATCAACATTCAAATAGGTATTAATCGGGCATGAGGTTCTGTAGTTCAATTTAAACTTAAATTGCATTCGTAGGTAAGTAAATTTATCAATTATTCGAAGTTTAAAGGTTCACTTTAACAATTAGTTAAGTGTCCATCTTCGAAATTGACTTGTCTTGCAGAGTTGTATGTATTTAGAGTCCTTATCAACGCAAATAAGTCTAGGGATTTAGTTGTTGTTACCGATTTTGGCTGATCAATAAAATCGTATGAAAATTTGAGATCAAATATCGGTCAAATTAAGTCGATTGAAGGCCAAGGATAACTTTAAAGGAATCATTTTTATGATGCATCCATTTTCGTATCTTTTACATACAGAAACTATTAGACATAAGCGTCTGTTCTTTTTCCTTTCTAACCCTTGTAGACAATTGGAAAGTCGATTTAAAATGTGCCTTTCTAAAAATTAAAATTTTTAAGAGAGCAACAACCCTGGAGGGTAGCGGATGAGAATCATGCGTATTCGACGCATTTCAGTGAATTTTCAGAAAATAATTACTTTTCAAGATATTCGGGGTGAATACTTTTAGTTGGGACAGCATGTGCTTTCATCAAATTCTTTATCATCCTTATCCTCGTAATAAGCTTTCATGTTTAGTCAAAAGTTTATATCGACTTGCTCTGTTATTCATATGTATTAGTGTTTGAATACTGTTGACAAAATAGTTATCTTATTACCAGAACAAGAAGATGCACCGCATCTAACAACTATTTTGTAAACCACCTTAATTTATCTCCGAGTTAGTTCTTGTCAAAACCGTAGTTTAAGTGTCGGTTACAAGTTGCAACTTTCCAAATCCCCATTTGTCTTTATCTCTTTGGGGGACTAATCAGCGATAAGTGTACATCAAGAAGTTTGGAGTTTCTAACCGACTATTACCTAGGTTTAACGCTTCAAATCCGGATAGATCGATTAACAGTTAAAGCTACTTTGTACTATTTTTTATTTGTTCTGAATTTTTTTGTAAAATATAACTCAAAACTTTGTTTCGTTTCTTTAAAATTATCAAAAATTAGTTACAAAAAATTTATTTTTTTTTTTAACTAAAACATACTAAACTAAATGTCAGATTTATTGTATTCAGAAAAAAAGTTTGTTTGATAATCTCCTTAAATAATCCTTAAAAAATAATTTCCAAGTTTGCATATACCGCGCATGTATTAGGAAAAATACAGGCAGATGAACAGCAATATCCATCAAATCAATTAAGATGATTAATCTTAGTGATTGATAACATCATACCATGTAATTTCCATTCCGGGACGGAGACAATTTACATGTTGAAAACAATTAGGTGAAGGCTCTATTACCTCTCGTTGTCGCTGGGTACAAAGACAGATAGTTTACATAAAGGTTAGAAGATTGATTAGGCTCGGTTTCATCTCGAGATTATTTCGGTAGTCAAAACTAGACCTAAATTGCTCACTGGTGTGTAGGTAGGTGGCGTGATTGATAGGTACAAATAAATATCATATTTTTGCCAGTAAGGGCAACAGTGATGTAATTCGATGTACATCAATGAACCAGCAATAATATTTTGTGCGAAACCCTCTGAGGAAAATCAGAATTCATATTTCATAATGTAATATTTAAAAAATACAAGTTAACATATTTTCTTTCGCACAACTATTTACTGTAAAATTGGATTTGTTCGTAACGGAGCCTAAGGAGAGTTAGAATTTTTGTTAATATTTATGTTCTAACTTTAAAAATCATTGATTTATTCATTGAAACAAACAGACTGAGATAGTTTTACTTCAGAATTAATACTAAGTACATTGTTGTCATATTGAAAGACGAATACAACAAATAATCATCATTTCTAATAAAATGGTGTACTTTATTTTGATTGCTTTTGATGTTATTATTGTAAGATTATACAAAATTTAGGTACCATTAAAAACATTTTATATTTTATATTAAACTGTTAGTTTAGTATTAGCAGATAATATAGAGAATTTCTCCTATATATGTCTCAAACAGAAACAAAGAAAAATAAATAAATAACTTTGTTCCTCCACGACATATAAACATTAATAATGTTACAAAGTATGTACTCATGGTTTTATCGAGGGGTGATATATTGCGAGCCATATTTTTTCATTTGTGTTGTATTGGAGGTTAACCTGTGTAGTCCTATCTGGGAATACGAAAGAACATAAAATACACATGGATTATAAATCGGTTTCGAGAGAAATTTATATGGAACTATATTTCTATATCAACTAATTTGTTGGTGCTAAGCCATGTGGTTCAAGCAGCGTATACAGGTTTAATTAAGGGTTTAATAAAAGGCAATATGCAGAAATACAACCTAAAATAAAAATTGCCCGATAACGTTTAGTCATTCTTAAGAAAGGTGCAAAGAATAATTAAGTAATCCTAAATTATTATTTATAATAGATTACATTTTTCTGTTTTGAATGACGATATGACAATACTATTAGCCAAGTTTCATCAATCCACGTACAACATCTTCAGATATATTTGAAGGAATTCGTTAGGTAGGTAGTCATTTTTCAATTTAAAACATCCTGTACCTCGGAAACAAGTGATTTGATGAGATTTTTTGGACGAATATGGCCCAAGAAACGCCCCTGACTTAAAAATATCGTTAAACTTTCCAAAATAATAGCGCAGTACTCAGACCTCAATTTTTATTCGATTTATGTGTGATCCTTTGATTTAATTGACAGAACTTTAAACAAATAATTTTATATATCGTCATACATATTATTGAGGATTAAGATAATGCAGTTGGAAATTTGGAATATTATTATTATTAGTTGCAACAAAATAAGACTGTCAAGCAGATTGTTAATCACTTTTGAGGATGATTGCATATTTAAATATACCTATGTCGCTGTCATTATTGACACCTAATGACATTAAATTTCAGTGCTGTTAAAAGAAAATGAAAACAATATTTATTTATTATCATTACAATTTGTTTAACTTATAATAATGTATATACTAGGTAAGGTAGGCAAGTGATGGTGATGTGGATAATAGATGCAACATATTTCGTTCATCCGTCATTTATAATATGGGGTTTGTATAATATTTAAAAGTCATGTTTAAAAGTCTTAATAAGAAAGCTAATTGGTTTCTGAGATGCGGTATTCTGAAGTTCATTCAGTCAAATATACTGGAAGCAGTTTGAGACATATATTGACGAAACGAGCTAATAATTGAATTAGTAAGAGACAAAAGCTTATTCAATTCATATATAAATCTATTAGTATGGATATTCTGTACGGAATATATTGGAAATTAAACAGCAAGATTTATTGGACTGCTATGAATTCTCTTGTTAATATTTTATTAATCGAATTTCTGTGGTACTCTGAGTTTTTTTTTTCAAATNAATTACAGACTGCAGTAGCAACGTAAATAAAACTGAATTTGTATGCATAATGGAATGAAATCTGTGTTTCCTGTTTCCTGTTTGCTTTCTTCGTTCTCCTCTGTGTGCCGTAAGCAAAATTAAATATATGCAAACGATTATTCGGTTGCTTGAGAAAGGCACGTGCTTTTTGTTTACAATTCATAGAATATTGCATATTCATTTATGCACGAGTTACCAGCTTTCTGGAACATATTTATAATATATACATATATGGTGAGTCTAGTTCTCATTTTATTTTATTTATAAATACACTACCCTACACTAATAACCAATAATGAGAAAGAATTAATTAAATCTGTCATGGTTTAGTTTAATATTTCAAATTTAAATTTAGTTACATAGCAAAACCACATATACCTAGTAAAACTTCAGTATAACAATCTAATGATTTACTCAACTCTTCATCTAACTTTTCCTCATTCATATTTTATACAGAAATTGTATTAAAATATTCTGTTTTAAAATTTTAACACGGTCAGCAATGCCTCTTGTTAAAATCTGCTTGTGTTTGTTTAAGTAAATTAGGAGTTTTGCACATACAATTCATACGTTTTGTGAGTACAGTTCTTGCAAAGGGTCTTCTCATGTTAAAATTCCTGAAAACGGGCTACAAATACCTCCAATTTAGATGGCAATTTTTTTATTTGAAATAATAAAAATTACAATAAAGCTAAGAGAATGCTTATAAGGAAAGGAACAAATACTTCATTTCGTGCCCAAATGTGTTCAAAAAGAAAATAAAGCCTCAAGCCGATAACGTTTGCAGAAATCTAATTATCTTGGATTACATGCACTCGGGATGCAGCGGCTGTAAATAGTTTCCGGAAACGCAGCCCCGGGCGGTTCTTCCTAATTTAATGCAAGTTCCCACAACCCTCTTCATCACCTATAAAACAAAGAGAACATGATAAAACGGAATAAAATTGCTACCTACATCTACCAACTTGAGTTAGAAGTTACAGACATGAAAGTTGTGAGTCATTTGTGTATCTAATAACACAACTACACGAAAAAAGAAAAGTGGTATATATTCCAAAGACCTAGACATACATATTTTTATGTATTTTGACTCCTGAATCCGAATCCGGAATAAGAATTGCTCCAACACATTCAATTTATTTTTAAATCTCGAGAAATCTCCCTTAAATACAGACGATAACCGAATTCAGAATCCCCTCCGTCCCACATTTTTTAAATCACCAAAAAAAACCATTAAATACGTTAATGTTTAAAAGAGTATATCAGTAACACCCTGTACTGTTACTTATAGTTGTCACACAGACAATAGGAAAGATTTACTCTAAATTACTTAGAAACCTGGTGGAAAATGACATTGAAGGCAAACAACCCAAGGAACAAGCAGAATTTCGAGTAGACAGATCTACAGTAGACAATTTTTTTACTCTTAAAAACATTAAAAATGCGAATCCAACGAAATATGAGAAACGCATATAGCTCTGACAGACCTGGAAAAAGCATATGACAGCGTCCCAATAATATTAGAGTTGTGGAGAATGGAGAGTGGTATCATAGATGATGAAAACGGTGCAGAAATATGGGATCTAAGCAAAATCAATAAAAGTCTATTAATGGCAACAGAGATGGACTTCCTCAGAAGAAGCTGTAGACAATCCCTACTTGAAAAAGTATAAACTTAAATCGTTAGAAGGGATGTGAACATCGAGAAAGATATTACATTACAAATAAAACGAAGGGCTACTACAGATCGAAATGTTATTTCTCTAAAAATGTACAAGTACTAATCTTCCCAAATAACAAATATACCTGGTACTCCAGATGACAAGGGGCGTGCTCAGGAACATCTTCATTGTCTTCGTTCTCGTACTCTGCGTGCTTGGCCACGCCCATAATTGGTCCTTCGTCGTCCACTAAAATTTCCCTGGGCTGGCCAATGATCATGTTGAAAAAAATGATTAGTAAAACTGAGATTTGCAAAACACCACTTATGGCCATTGGATTCGACTGAAGAAAAGCACCTCCACGTACGGAGTTTATATGTGATGCTGGGAATACTTACAAGTGTCTCATTTTCTCGTTTACTCGAGATGTTAATTAAATTCGTTGCTACGGTTTTGTGTAATTAAACGTAAATAAACTAACAAACTTATTTTGGAAAAGGTTATTTTGCATCGAATGTAATTACAACTTCTATACTTAGATATTGATGCTCGTAGCGTAACAATGACGTTGCGATAAATTTCCACGGTTAATTGCTCTCATTAGTACCAAAAAGAAGAGTAAAGATTTTTCTTAAAATGAGTCCTAAGGGCCCTTAGATCCGTCAAAGATTTTTGGTTAATTTCTTAAAAACTATATTCCACACGTTGATTCACAGCAAGTACAAAAAATCTGAGGAAGATAAATAATGAGAAACGTTGTTTTAATTTGCGAAAAGCGGAACAAGTATAATCTATAAGTAAACAAATTTTTCAGGGATCTGCACCAGGTCTCACAAAAGTTTTAAAATTTTTTATAAGAGCGTCTATTTCATGTAGTCTTAAGCAAATAACGTGCATGGATGGCATATTCGTATGGGTCTCTTATGTATTTTTTATTTTATCGCATTTCCTTTTGAATGTACAAACAATTCTCGGCGGGTACATATATTTTTGTCACATTAACATAAATCACCCTTGTATATCACTCCACCAAATATGGTCGTGGCGTCCAAATTAAGCCTTTTAACTTTTAAAGGATAAGCTAAAACAATACTGTATAAATTATTTCAGACTTGGATGATGTCGACATTACTCTCTACGTAAATCCCATAATCTCTTTATTTCTTTAGTTTAATTGCTATCGCATGTGTGTACATTTAACAATAATTCTTGTACCTCTAGATTTTCTCCAAAGTAATATATTTTTTCTTTGATAATACGTACTGATTTCAATTACTCGATTGATTTACTGTCAGGCTGGGTATAATAGATCCCGTTTCAATATGGCAACACGTCAATAACAGCCGTTGTTATTGCCAGACCTACTCCTTAGGATTAGGCCCTACCAATTGCTATGTGTATAGATAATCCGGCACAAAGCAAACCATGACTGAGCAAACCTGTGGTTCCTTAGCAGTATTACATAGGAATTTCCCAGGTGTTAATATTAATGTTGAGTCTTGCTTAGACAATAGTAGACTGGTATCAGTTACCTTATTAAACTTTGATAATCGGTTTCAATTTGGGGCAAATTTCTAATTAATATTATTTACTTTTACTTAACAAATAAATTTTCTACACAGGATATAGTTTATAATATACAGTATGTCCGCAGTTACGGTGAATAAGAGGAGAAACTTTTTTATTTTACATTTTACGGAAAAAGGCCACACTTGATAAAAAGTTTTGCTTGAATTTAAAAAGAGGTTGCTATGGTGAAGCTTAACATTTCATGTACGGCGTGTGCAGAAAATAAAAAAATCTGAAACTGTCGCGAGAGTAAACTACCTTTATTTTTAATATTTCTGTACTAGGAAAAGTTCTTCCAAAATAAAAGATATGATATAACTCCAATTTGTGGAAAAATTGACCTACTTTATTATTTACAAATATTTATGTCCGCGGTTAGGGTGAATAAGAGGAAAAACTTTTTTATTTCAAATAGAAGGTTGTGAATAAAATGACATTTTCATTCTTCACTTGTGTCACCCATACGGTTTGTGGTTTGGAATTGGTGGGGTTGGGGTTTGTAAGCTTGGAGTTTGTAGGTTCGGGTTTTGTGGGATTGGGGTTGTGGGTTTAGGGATTGTGGGTTTGGGGTTTGTGGGTTTGTGAACTTGGAGTTTGTGAGTTTGAGTTCGTATGTATTAAAGGTTTCTGAGTATAAAGTTTCTGAACTGCAATGAACTGTTTGACGTCTAAGGGATCCTTAGTAGATTTTCGCATATTAAGAAACTGAGAAACTTAAAAATTTCAACATGTGATATCTCAACGAAAAAAAAAGATATTTGAGCAAACTCAACGGCATTCGAAAGAGGGAGCCTTGTACTTTTAAATTATATGTATTTTTTTTTAGAATAGATGGCATTACTACATAACCTCAAATATGACCAAAAACAGTGTTTTTGCAATTTTAGGTTAGGATATCTCAAAAACCTGACGTGGTAGAGCAATTCTGCGGCCAAATTCGGATTCAGCGCACCAAAACCCTTCTGGAATGCATATTAGTGTGTCTGCTTCTTGACCCTTGTTGACCTGTGTTATTACAATAATTAAATTTTATCCAATATTCACAAATTAGAAATGGTTTTTAAAGTTAATTAAAATTTACAACGATGTAATAAATTTACAACATTTAGCTCACGATATTATCGAAATACACTTAAGTTTACATAATAAGAGCATTGTTGATACTGACAGACGG